GAAAGAAGTATGTAATAAAAATAAGAGGACTGGTAATGGCTTCAAATGTTGAAGCAATTACCAGTCTCGAGCGCGTCGTCATCGATCGGCTGCGCCCAATTCGAGATACACGAACCAGAGAAAAAAGCTGGGTTCCAAGTTGGCCAATCAACAATTGACCAAATCTTCAGTCTCAGACGCATAATTTAAACCCGAAATCGGTACAATCAGCCAACATACATTGCCTTCATAGACTTTGCGTGCGCCTTCGATTCGCCGTGCCGCATTCGTCTATTTCAACTACTCCGAGCTAATGACGTCCCGGAAAAACTTGTACGACTAATAAGCAATATGAATATGTCTACAACAGCAATAGTGAAAACGCAGAATGGCATATCCCAGCAGTTCAGCGCTAACATAGGTGTACGACAAGGTTTGGTACTGGGTCCATTTCTGGTTAACTTCGCAATTGATGATGCTCTCAAACGCGCAGTCGTGGAATACAATAGCGGAATCCAACTATACCCGTCCAATAAATACGTTACAGATCTGGATTGCGCAGATGATCCGAACGAATTACAGAAAGCGGGAACAGCTGTGAGCGAGTATGAAGCAAGTTATGGGCTGATAATAAAGCCATCTAAAAGCAAAGTGCTATCAATCAGTGTATCGAATGAAATATGTAATCCAATACTGGTTAACAACGAAGAGTTGAAAAGCACCGAAATCTTCTGCTACCTCGGCTCAATTACAACAGCCAATGGGGATTGCACGTCCAACGTAGAGCACAGAATCGTGAAGGCACAAGGAGCATTCAATCTATTGAGGAGATGCTTATGATCAACTGCAATCAAGAGGAAAATCAAACTGAAAGTTTATCGAACAGCCATAGTCCCGATTATGATGTATGCGAATTCTACCTGGACGCTCACGGAAGCACTGAACAACAAGCTGGACATCACTGATCGAAAATATCTTCGTTAAATTTTGGGATATTCATGGAGAGATAGGAAAAGAAACGATGAAATATATTTAGCAGTCAATGAAGTGCTAAAGAAGCACCATACGTTACACATCAAGCCATCTGAAGGAGCGCGAGAAAATAGGCTGAAGCTAGTCGGGCATATTTTCAGACGCGATGACAATAAAATAAGGAAACTATTACTTCTGCATGGGCCGTCCCCGGATGGAAGCAGACCAGAGGTAGAAAGCGACTGATATGGAAGGAGCAAATCAAAACTGACCTTTAACTCGCCGGATTTGATAAGATAATCAAAGAGGCAAGGTCACTCTACGGTCGCAACATACATAATACATGGAATGGCCCAAACTGGATACAATCGGTTAGTATAATTGCTGACGACAAAACTAGATGGCGGAAAATGTGCAAATACCACGATAGAGAGAACGCACATCGGTGAAGTCGCCTTAACGGCACTCCACAGCAAGTAAGTAAGTATGTAACAAACTTATCAGAGTTAGTGATTTTATTTGATGTTTCTGTGGTACGTGAGAAAACAGTCTCGAAACGTACAGATCAAAACATTACTGCAGAACTGCTTTCCCCACAAAATATAGTTCGATTTGTCTTTTATATGTATTTGATGAATGCTTTTAGACGAACTCAACTATTTTATTCAGTCGTTTTTGATCAGATGGTCATGAGCATGACGCAAGATTCATATCTCGTTGCTACGTTTAGATCTCATATGCAATCTAATTATGGAGTTTAACGGTTTTATCTTCAATGAAAGTTGGATGCACAAGGTGGTCAGGTATTAATCCGATGAGTTTAATACATTAAAAAGTGTTGATCCAACTCGTACTTGCTTACGAGTGATTAACAGAAGATAACGATAGCAAAAAAGCGGAAAGGTTTTACTGTTGTATCGCATGAATCAGAGAAGTAATCGATGGTGAGATGGATGAGATGTACGTTTAGAGATGATTATTGAGATATTTAAAGTTACATTCAGTGCACAAATAAGTTAATGAGAAGCAATGCGTAGAAATTGCAAAGGCTGACCTGAACATAAGTTGATGATGAGTAAACCGGTCAGTAACAGTCTCATTTTGTTTAATGATTCAAGATCGCGATACTAGAAAATAATGATCATTAGGATTGTCGGCCGTAATGGATTTTTAAAGAACCGTCTGTATTCTTCAAAACATCATCGTATCCGAAGGAATTCGTGATTCGGTGGATCAAATGGTTTTGCTTTATCGGAAGAAACCTTATTTGGTTTTCATTTGTTTATCGCTCGCGACTCACAGTGCGATATGAATCATGTTTGGAAAGTGGTTCAGAATCCTAGATTAATCCACAAACACAAAATAAGTTTGATATCCTATGGAGATCCTGAAGATCATACGGTTGACATGTTGTATTAACTTCACAAAATTCTTAGATCAACTGTCAAAGGGATTTGTCCTGTCAATTTTCCTGAAGTAAGCCACTGCGGAGATGTGTCGTTGAAAGAATGAATGACATTGGAATGAAGAACTTGAAAATTACGTAAAACGGGTAATAAAGAGCTTCATAAACTTGCCTATGTTCAATTGACTGGTGAGCGATGCGAAT